ACATAAATTTATAACTTTATTGTAATATATATATGTAAATAGATAATTCCCCTTCAATGGAATAATATATATTGTATATGAGTTTATGTGTATATACGTTTGTGTATATATATTTTAAGAGAAGCATAATTATACCTTTTCACTCTCTCATTTGTATACTTTTTGTGTTTAAAATTGCCGAAAACAAGTTTACTTGGTTATACGACCTTTTGTTTAAATTTGTCATGCGCAAAATTGTAGCGGCAGCTTTGAATTATTGATGTGTGTAGTCATGGTGATGGTGTAGATTTCCTACATGTACCTGAACAGTTCAATCTATGTTAATTGATAATTTTCCTACTGCTATCGATAAGCGTGTGTGTAAATATAATTTAGTTTATTGATATTAGATGGTCGGAGGCAGTCGGCAGGAAGCATGACATGACCTAGGTTTCGTGCTAGTTGGTGGCACTCACCAGTCAGCAAGGCGTATCTGCAACCTTGAAGGAACTCACTACTCTTCTGAGATTCGAACCGGTGTCAGACAGTGCTGCAGTCAGAGACGTTACCACCACTGAGCTATTCGGGCTCGCGATTGAATTCCTGTAGGACTGTATTGGATATTTTGATTGGACACTAGTCAGTAACTAGTGTAATGTGTGTGTCTAGTGCTATCTTTGGTGCAGACTGAATTCGATTAGTCAAGTTTTGTTTATATTCTATTAGAGTGACGGAATTCGAACGCCTACTAGTAATGTGTACCATGGATGTACAATACTTTTCACAATCGAATAGAGATGGTGTAGCTATCTATGGGAAGCCCTGTCCTAACTGGACATCTTCATAGTCTAACCTTGAGAGAATAAAGTTGAAGCTTGCAATCGATAAAACAACTTCTTACTGTCGATACGTCGATGACACATCTGTAGTGTACAACAACAAGGGGATGAAAGTCATGCGTCTTATCCTACTTGCGCTATTCAGCGATCCACATACAAGACAAATATTCACTTCACTATGGAACAGTGAAGTCATGTGAAATTTCATTTTTACTTTAAAATGCCATGCGACACTTAGATGATGGTTGTCTCCAGGGATTAATTCCCTTAAAGGCCTACATGAAATAGAAAATACTTACAATTCAGTAGATTTTGTGTAAATAGGTATAAACGAGCACTGGTCAAAACTCTGTTTTACTGAGAAAGGAAAATATGTTCTACACAGAGAAATTAGAGAAAGAATTTTTCATTCTCGAAATTCATTAACAAGTATGGAAGATTTGAAGGTTCACATACCAAAGAAATCTCAGAGGAAAGATGTTTATCTTCATGCGACTCGATTTTGATGGGGATAATATTGGAGGAATAGCCAACGGAAGATTGAATACCTCACTAACCAGAACTTGTCGTGTAACTAAGTTGGTTCCCGTTTGTTGAGCAACACCCGCTTCAGTACATTCGAAGGTCGATAGATAGCCTTCTTATGTTACTTCTAACAGTGTATTTAAACTTATATGTATCCGTGGCAACGGTTACATTGGGAGAAAAGACAGAACAGTACAGCTTCGATTTTCCGAATATATACCAAAAGTTTGCCTGTCAAAGGAGCAAACGCTTCCAATAGAGCCATTGGGAGGCATCTTGTCGATACTGGTCATGAGGTAGGTGGACACTATGAAATCCTTTCAAATTATCGATACACCTAATGGTTGAATCCTGCTCAGTTTATTCGAAGCAATCGCTATCAAACTCTTGAATACCGATTTATTTGTACAGAAAACAATCGTTATCAGTCTTTCCTTGCCCTGATAACTGGATGCTGTTACCCATATCCCTCTCCTTCATTTGATTAGGTAATTTTCGGCCTTGACCTTTCTCCTACGCTATAATGTAAATTTGCCTGTCTCTTGTTGCTATGATTTGAGTTGAACTTACCACGCTGTTACTTATTAACCAATAATCGTCTTATTCACATCTCCTTGTTACGTAATTTTTCCCCATTGTTTCCAAGCGTTAAAATTTTGACTTTAAGCCTGAAGTTTCTTTATACAAGCTATATCAGTGTAATTTTCAAGCACTTCCCCTTAAGTCGATCGGCAGTCTCTAGTCACCTTACACATTATGCCACATCTGCAAGTATGTTAACATTGTTCTCTACATACAATCAATAACTTCTTTAGGCTGTAAGCAGCTGATGAGAAGCCGACTAAGTAAACGATGATGGATGGTGGTAGCATCTTGTTCTGCACAAACCCCTGTTGTTCTTGCTATATATTCAAATTCATGAAGAGGAATAAGTGTATGAAGAAACAGTTATCTAAATCTGTGTTGAGATGAGTGGAAACATTTCCTCAGCTCGTGAAACCATAACCCAGCAAAACGAGTCAGGAGTCTGTATACAGCTAAATGAGCAATGATGACACATTGTCCATGTACCATGCGTGTGTGTGCGACCCCAATGATACTAGCTGATTTCCCTAGCAGACGGGATGCGAATCCGTGACCTATTGACAGAAAATTCAATCCCGAAGCTAATGAGCTACATTTCCGTGTGAATATAGATTACTTTGATTAGTTTCCAGCAGCATGGCTTCCTTTCACAATCAAACAACCTTGGTTGACGTTAATTCTTCAGTGCTATTAACTATCTGACTGAGTTCGACACCTAGAACTTAGTACAAATGTCCAGTAGATCATGTAGCACAAAAAAGCAGACGAAGCAAAATTCGAAACGAATTACACTAAGTTTAAGTCTACAGGAAAAAGAATAGTAAAATGGAAAAACAAGAGGATATAAGATAACTGCGTTCCCGTGGAACGATTTTGAGCCATGTCGCCTATAATCTCGTGTCATTAATTCTTAGAATCTCAAGAACCCCGATCAGAGATTAAAGAGATTTTATGGACTGACACCTGGCTTTCATGTGACCATGCTTAAGTCTTTTCCAATTTAATCCTAAGTCTGCTGATATTGATTGACGAGGAAAACCATATCGTAGCCATTGCAAACGATTTACCTTCACATCCTCATCGATTGGCTTAATCTCCATATCTAGCACTCTCCGCTTAACCTCAACATCCTTCACCACATTGTACGACGGAAGATAGAACTCTGGCACCTATGATCAAAAACATCGAGTGTTTTCATATCTTCTACTTCCAGTGGCCATGTCTCACTGCAATAAAAAGGGACAGAGAGAACCACTGCACAGTACACACATACTTTGATCGATAGTCAGTTATCACGTCTAATTGTTCAAGTAAGAGAAGTGCTCAACCACTCCACTCCCTAACCTAATGTTAGTAATCGGTGTACTTCATTCAGTTCATCACTACTATCTTACACCTGACACGACGAAATCGCATGCCAAAGATTCGGAAATTTCTCTCAAAGTGTGGTAAGGAGGCTATAATAACCGAAAACGGATTGAACCGATCTCTGCGTCCTACTGTATAGAGCTGTCTGAAACGTTTTTGAGATACAGGGAGACACGAAACACCCCAAAGATAGACAGACCTACAGTCCCATTGAGCATTAATAGCATCAAATTACCTTAAACAGCGCCAATAGGCAGCTTACTTTCAAAGTACAAAACAAGTTCTGTAGAACAGAGTTGGTTAACCAAAAATCAACTGTAAGAAGTACCTAAGAATCGAGTAGGATACACCCAAGGTCAGCATAACCATCATTCGCTCAATCAAGTCACATCATCGCACAACAACTAAAAGAAGCATTAAAGTGAGAGATTCACTAGGAATAAAGACATATAATAGAGATTAAGTCAACAAATGATGATATGCAAATGTCAGAACAACAATGAAATACAGTCTAGGGCTATAAACGGATAATAATCACAAAGAAACACTCAGATGATTATTAATAACTAGATCGTTCAGGAAGGATCCTCCAAACACTTATTCCATTACAAAGACTGCATTTTATCAGCCTCTTCACCTTGGAGGACGATATCTCTCAACAAGCCTTCACTCTGGTAACAAATGAATCCCTAAAAAAAGTTGCTAAAGTTAGTTATAGTGTAACAGCAGAAGGCAAGACACAGAAGCAAAGGTATCTTTTCAAGTATTGATTTGCAGGGATTTGATTGATTGGTTACAGGATTTCATCATGAGCTGACATCATCGGTTAGAGAATCATTGGAAAACCAGCCAGGGAGTACTGGACAGCTTTGTTTCGTTTTGGCTAGGGACCTCTTCATCAGTACGCACCCACTGGGGCATCTGTTAATCAAATTTGCTGTTTATATGTACACAGTTTATATTCGTTAACCAATCACTGAGCGTGTGATTTTGGTTTACATTAAACGACATGAAATAGAATGTTCAAATACACACAGCATTCTGTTGCTAATGCCGTACTGAACTGTGAGAATAATATTCCGTTGGAACACATTGTCTGTATCACACATCACAATAGCGTCAAATCCATTAGTACATCTATGATAAAATTAGACCAAAAGAAAAAATAAGGAGAGTTTGCAATCCTATTGGGCTGATTACCCTCTGACTGTCTTTTCCAACCGAATCCCATGTTACCGACCTCATATTGTTTGACGAATAGGGCGATGGCTTGGTATGCGTAAAATATGCATCCCAACCAATATAGCTGCTTTCCAACCTCAGCGATTGACTTATCCCTCTCATTACACAAACATTCAACAGCTTAACGTCGTCAATATTACTCTCATCATATATTATACCACTCCTCTCCTTTTGGCTATCTACTATCTGTATCATGATACATACATAATATTAACCCATACACCTCTTTTTTTAACAGAAAGTATAAAAGTTACTCCAGGTTAACTTTATTTTTAAAATAATTTTTATTTTTAAACAAAAGACATTGACAATAAATAAGCAAATATTAAAAACATTGTATTATTATATGTTGTATAATATTATAAATATTATAGTCAATGTTCAGCATGCTTTGGTATAATTCTGCTTCTGACATACAATAAATAAGAACCGGTTTCGAGGCAGGCTATTATTATTATTATTATTATTCAGTATTAAATATATAAAGAACAAATAGAAGATAGGGTAGACAGCTAGCTATCCCCTAATTGTTCATTCAACAGATAGAATGACAATCAAAAAAACACAAACTGATTAACGCGCCAATACTTGTGACCAATTAATTGGTACAGAGAAAACTTCTTCTTCAAGCCATTTTTCATAGTTTTGTTTAAATTCATCAGATAATTGTACTGGTTGACTCAGTACACTCATTAGACAATTATCAACTGGTTTAAATTCTGGATCAATCCAATTATCACAATAACGACGTTGAATAAATTGATCAACATTTGTACGTAATGAACATTCTTCGACTTGAAATTGCCATGGTAATGCATCAACATCTGTAGTATATGTGGAAACAAAGAACAGGGTGAATAATTTTACGTATATTTCATGTTTGACCACAATGTTATATCAGTTAGAGAACCATTGGAAGAGTAGCAGGGACAGCTGTTTCGTCCTAGTTTAGGTCTCATCGACAGCACGCACTCCCACTTCGGGTTTACGCAGGACCTCCTGCTGAACAAGGCCAGTTCGTAGACCGTTTAGACTCTTGGAGTGGAAATGACTGGTCCACAAATTTTAACTTTTTTAGATTCGTGACTTTAGTGGAATCACGAGGCAACGTCGTCGGGGGCGACTATTTATCTTCAAACCCACTCACTGATCACGATTTCTTAATAGATTTCCATGCAACTTTAGCCTACATTCAATCACTGGTGAGCATCAGATTAATTTTCAAGTATTAGTTTTTTGGAATTCGGTTCACTTCAAGTTTGATCACGGATTAATGAAAACTGTAAAACTATATACATTAAAGTTTTGTAGACATAACTTACTACTTTAAGTGTTAGGATGTAAATACTAAAGTTCAAAACTTTTCGTGTAGTACTTGCTCAAAGTTAGAAGTTCTACCAATTGAAATCAATCTCATATAATGAAGGTATCGGTACTTTTGTTACTTAGGAATTTTTCAAATCAGCCTCGGTGTTATCTTGATACTGTTTCACTAGAGAAAGTCATTCTATCATTACTTTCGAAATATAAATCGAATAATCAACCATGAGTTAATTAATGGTGAGACGATCTATGGGTGTTGACAGACTGTTGTTGATGTATTGGACGATGTTTGAAAGCGATACAAAAAGTCTGGGTTGTGACGGAATTCGAACCAACCATCGGCCTCCGAATTATAAACCACAAAAATTCCTAAACATTTGCTTGATATAAGAGTTTCTATGCATAATAAGCTTGTAACAAAGTGAAAATGAATAGTTATTTCCCAAGTGTTGATCTGCAGGGATCTGATTGGCTACAGGTTCCATTATGTATATATATATAACTCTAGTGGGTGCGGACTGCTGATGAGTCACAAACTAGGACGAACCAGCTGTCTAGTACTCTCAGGTTTTCCAGTTGTTCTCTAACTGTTGCCAAACTTGAAGTCAATCGAATCCCTGCAAACCAACACTTAATAATTCGACTTATTCTAAAAACTTTCGTTGAACATAAGAAAATTTCTAGATGTTAATTTGGAAGGTCTTCCTTGATTTCACATGAGATATCATCATGTGTGAGAAAAAACAAATTTGTCGATTCACAATTGAACCTCAGCTATTTCTCCTTCAAGGATCAGTTTTTTTTTCTGTGCTGGTTGAATCACACTGCGGACTATTTTGAATTCTCAAGGGACAAGAGCGGGGTTGATGCGTTGCGGTGTGACTGTGTACATCTCAGTTTCTCAAGGGTAATGGTCTGTTGCACGCAGTTCATGAGTGTTACTATCCTCCGCTTAAAGCTCCTCATCAGTGGATTGGATTAGCAGCAACGATTTACAGATAAGTTTCCAAGCCAGCAAACCCGAAGTAAAAACCACGAGAGCAAAATTGATTTTTCCCTGTATTTTGATCAATTATTCGCGGTTCGTTACGGGTAAATGGCAATAACCCTGTTTTTGGGTGAGTATGGTGCAGTGATTACGTCATCCCTAACCTAAATGTAAAAAGACCAAGTTTTGGAAAACTATCGTTTAACACAGAATTTTACTAAAACATTTTTGAAAACCTGCTGTTTAACATATTATGTAACTAGCAGTGGACTAATAATATGAAAGTCTCACGAGTTAAATGGTTTGCGTTAGCAATAAAATGCCAAAATTAAGCTTCAAATTCCGATTCTGAATACATTCAACGATGGTTTGTAATAATGGGTTTATTGTATACTACCACTTCAGCCTTCCGAGGGAGCATGTCGAGCTAATTAGACAAAAGTCACGATATGAAAAATGTGTCCAACTCAAAACATACGTCCCATATAAGAAAAGAAAACACTACTTCATAATTCGCTACGTACATCGTCTCTATACGTACTATTGCAAGAAGGATATTCAACACTGGAGCATAAATCTGCGCGAAAGACGACGACATTCAAGTGAACAGTCAGTCGTACGCGTGTTGTCTGACTCAATTAATCTGTTATGATGAATGCAAGACTATACTTACCATCGATGCCTTTTCAAAATCTTCAATTATACATCACCCTACTGTATTTCGGATGTGTTTTATCAACCAGTGCAATCAATCAGTATTTTAATAAGCACCAGTTAAAGAACCAATGGAAAACTTTGGAGTACTGGACAGCTGTTTGAACCCAAGCTTGGAACTCTTTATCAGTACGCACCCACTGAGGTGCAATTCCAGGACTTTCCAGTCACCAAGTAAGCTCGTAGGCCAATGTCATTGACGAGTAACTAATCTCTTAGCTGACTGACTTGGTGAACTACACTGATTAAAATTGGTGATATGGCTCAAAACCGTTCTCAATGGTGCAGATGCATCCACTCCTTGTCACTTATGATTTCCAATGAAACTGAATTGTCCTTCGTTGTTACTATTCCTTTGGCTCACACCTCTGTTTACTGTCTATGTTATGCATTTCTTCTCTTGTTTTGTGTGCTACATGGAGTGTGGCGACTTGAACTGCCACACATATGTGCAAAGTTCTATGGCGAAAACAGAGAGACAACTTCTGAGGTTTCCCAACGGTTCTCTAACTGATATCAACTAGTGATAAGATCTGCAGCCAATCAAATTCTTGCAAACAAACACTTAGTAATAAGTATCAACGCAGTCTTACTTCATCTGAAGTTGTCTGATGAATACAACCGTTGCAATCACTCTTACTGGGGATATCTAGACGACATGATTTTACTGCTCAGGAGTTTCAGATGTGGTTTGCTGCAAACTGTCGAACAGACACAAAACCTTGGCCTGAAGTCTCCTACTAACTCCCTTAAACTAGCATATACATACTATCAATTTATCATGGAAAAATATATTTAAATATCAACAACAGGAAAAAAGTGTAAAATTTACCATTTCCATAAGCCCAATCATCTGTTAATCGATGTCTAACTTTTTGATAGATAGCTGACATAATTGACATATTATTTTTACGCCATTGACGTCCAAAATATCGACTTTGTAATTTTAATAATTTCAGCACATACAATTGAAGCATTGCATGCCTAACGCGTAGTGTACGTTTTAATATTGGGGCTGATTTGAACACAACTAAAAGCTGTAAAAAAAGCGGAAAGGCAAGTATGAAAACAAAAGAATAACTATGCCATACTACAAAAATGAGATAATGTCAATTGGGTGGGTGGGGTTGCGATTCGATTCCCCGCGGATGCACTCCTCTAAAGCTTGTCGGCAACGGTAAAGAATAAACACCACGGTCAAATGACCTTCAACCGACTAATCAGATAGCTCAGCATTACAAATCGATGCTTCTTATTATTTTCGCTGCGAATTTCATCCTGATTGAGAGATAATGCAAGTAGGGCATTGAAGTTTATGAAAAGTATCGATTTGCAATACTAAGCAATCTGATTGGTTAGTTCAAGGTTACTTGACTGTGGCGTCTATTCTTTACTGTTGCCAGTTTCTCTAGTTTATATAATTAGCTCTTAGGTAGCTCGAAAAGGAGACAGTTGGTTGGTTAGGTAGCCAAGGCTGGCAACTTGACACCGTACAAACAAAGCCTTACCGATATTGAGACAGTCTTCTTATCGGTCGTCCAGCATATTCCTGTCTCCTCTCTCCCCATGCACTGTCTGGTGAATAATCCAGTCCACCACAATTAAGGATATCATTGGTCATAATAGTCAGGCAGCCTTGTCTTACTCCTGTATTCACGTAGAACGCCTAGCTGAGTTTCTTGTCGTGGATCACCTGACACGTAGCACTGTCATATAGCTGTTGAATGAGGTTGATAAAGACTTGAGGTACACTGTAGTGTTGAAGTAGTTTCCAAATTACTTCTTGGCTAATACTGTTTGTTGAAGGTCTTTTCGAAGTCGATGAGGTTGAGGTAGAGTGAGGTTTGACTGCCACTATATGCTTTGTTCTGTGATGACGATGCATTGAGTTGCAATTTGATCAGCACATGATTTGCCTTTCCTGAATCCAGCTTGTTGCGGCTTGGCGGAGTTCTGTATCCAGTGCATCTTTTATTCTCTCCAGGATGATGCGACTTAGTATTTTACTTGGTGTGGACAAGAGCATTATTCCACTCCAGTTCTTGCAAAGGCGAAAGTCACCTTTCTTTGGAGGCTTGACGAGGTAGTCAGCCTTTTTTCCAATCGGTAGGCACCTTCCCTTCTTTCCAAACCCTTTGCAATAATGGCGTGAGAACATCTGCCGTAGTCTCTGGGTCAATTTTGAGTGTTTCGGAAGAATCTGGTCCTGCTGTCATTCCAGACTTCAGTAGCTTGATCACATTTCGTATTTCTGCTTTCGTTGGAGGATTGGTGTCCACTGGCAGGCAGTTCTGTGCGTGCTGTTGGTGGTATTGGTATTTCTGGGCGAGTTGCAAGTGGTGGTCGATTCAAAAGTCCTTTAGAGTGATCAGCCCAATGGTTTTATTTGTTTCTCTCGGGCATCTTTCATTGGTTTCATCATCATCTGGGTTGATCTCTTCCCCGATAGAGACCTGGTTATATGATAAAATATCCTTAGGTCTCTTTTACCTGCGGCCTGTTCCGCTTCAATTGCCAGTGTTTTGTAGAATCGTCTTTTGTCTTTCCCAGCACTCTTCTTCACTTCTTTATTCAGTGAGTGAGATGTACATTGAACTCACCTTCTTCTCCTTCCTTCTGTTGCCCATCTTTGCATGTTGGATGTGCCTGCACCAAATCATATTGAGGTCGAATGGATTATAGAAAAGATCGTTCTACAAGGCCAATATGCAAATACCCAGCCGACAACTGCTACCTTGCCGTGGTGGTCGGGCTTCAATGCCGCAGTGACCCAACAAGCTAAACTGGCTGGGACTCATGGCCCTACAGGTCTCACCATGTCAGGAAGGTTGTTTGGATAGCGGTTAGACTAAAAGCAGTTACCATGGGGTACATGGGCTCCAGAATTCAATCAGATCAAATGTCGTATGAACCCATATGGGTCACCGGCAACCATGGGAACGCAGCTCCCGATGCTGCTCTGCTGCCTTGCGGATTAGACTCCAAGTCAAAAGCTCGGGGGGTGGTCCCTTAAGAAAACCACCTGCTTCGGTCTGGGCGCCCGGGCAGTATCTCAGGCCTCACACAATGTGTGGCGCATCTTTCTTGGTGCCATATTGTACCAAGTTTTTTCTGCGTTTAAATAAATAAAATATGCAAATAGACACTAGCCTATTCGGTTAGACATAGAAGCAAGGAAGGGTCCTATCAATTACTAAACATTGAAAATTTCTTAAAATGTATACACAAATATACGATCAATCTTGATTATGTTATTTAACATACCATAATTCTTGAATGTTTCCATTTAGTTAGCATATTTAATATTCTTAAGAGATTGATACAAGAGAATAGATTACGCCAACAATAAGAACTCCAATCACCTACCTAATAAAAAACAAGAGCACAAAAAAAGAATAAGATTGAGGCCTTTTATTTATAATTACGAATTAGAACAATATTTATTTATTTATTTTGATTTTGATTTACAGCTTGATTCCACACCGTATTTTCAGTACAAGTGTGGAATTTTCAGCATGCATATCGGTAGCCCAAATTCAGGCGGACCATAGATATCGGGTGTGCGCCGGCAGGGGATCGAAACCCGGACCATGTTCATGGTCGGCGAGAGTCCTAACCACTGTGCCACCGACGCACATCACTCCATTTTAAACGTGACTTGATTGCAGGAATAATCAACAGAAGGCTGAATACTTCAATAGCCAGAACCCATCGCCTAGCTAGGTTGGTTCCCGTTTATCCAACAATAATGCTCTTCTTTGGTGTAATCAAAAATCGATAGATACGCTTCTCATGTTAACTCTTATTCTGTATACAAACTTACATATATCCGTGGCACCAGTTATATTGGCAGAACATAATGAAGGGAGTATTCTTCAAAAAAACCTACGTTTTAAAGGCGACAAAAACGTCTTCAATAGAGCCATTGACAAACATCTCATCAATACTCTGGTATCATTAGGTGGAAATCACAAAATCCTCCAAAATTATCAATAGATGAAATAATTCCATTCTCCTCAGGTTTGTGTCGAAACGATCGCTATCAAATGCCTGAAACCACTTATCAGTCTTTCTTTGCCCCCAATAAGTGGATATCTTTATTCTCTCTTAAATTTGATTATGTAATCTCCGGGTTTAAACTCTCCTCCCCCTTTGCTATGATTCAAATTTGCTTATCTCTTGTTCCCGTGATTGAAGTTGAACTTACCATTTGCAATAAGTAGTGTTCTCTGAGCTAGCTGGTTGGTTTAGTTGCGTAGCTTTCGTCGTCCTTCTGGACAACATCCTTCAGCGCAATTTTTAGCATAAAGTGAAATGATTTAAATCTCCAATTATTGGTTTTGTAGGGATTTATTTTGATTGGATGGAGGATTTCATTATGAGCTGACATCAGTTAGAGAACCACTAGAAAACCTGGGAGTACTGGACAGCTGTTTCGTCTTGGTTTGGGACTCTTCATCGATATGCACTCACCGAGGTTCGAACCCAGGACCTTCTGGTTACAAGGCGATGATAGAATTGCGTTTCCTGGTAACCATCTTTACATATCTATTGATCGTTTATTATTGAGTCGGATTTTAAACATTTTCGTCACATGATTTACTGTTTATTAGTTGGTAGATTTGGTCTATATTAACATGTTTGTTAATTGCATATTCGTCTGAGTACCAGGCTTCTAGGAATTCCCTGACTGCACTTTTGGTGTTTCCTCTGTCTAAAATTTCGACATTATCCCAATCAAATTGATGTCCATAATTGTCTACATGCAATGATATGAAAGAATATATATCTTGTGTTTTCACAGCTGATTTGTGTTCCTGGATTCTGATTCGAAGGGGACGCCCACTTTGGCCGATGTAATATCTGTTACAGTTCATACAATTTATTTTGTAAATGGTATTAATTTTATCTCCTTTTTCTGTTGGATCTTTTGGTTTGCACAATATCGAATTAAGTGATTGGACTGGCTTGTGTGCTACATCTATTTCAAACGGTTTCAATATCCTAGCTGTTATTTCAGAGATATTTCTCATGTATGGTAGGATGAATTTTCTTGTGGTCTTTGATGATGGTTTCTTGTTGGTGTTTTGATTCGACTTTAAATACTTTTTGATGAAATTTTGTGGATAACCATTATTTTTGAAGACCGTTTGTAGGTATTTTTCCTCCATTCTTTTCAACTCTGGAGAGCTACAATGTGTTTGAACTCTTTTAACCATTGTCTGCACACAGTTTCTCCTGTGAGTAATTGGATTATTGCTGCAGTATAGTTGAGTATTTGATCTGTGTGCGTTGATTTTCTATATACTTGTGTTTCTAAATTTCCTGTGTTGGTTCTCCTGATTAAGACATGTAAAAATGGGATTTTGTTGTCGTCTAATTCTTCTTCTCTTGTGAATTTGATGTCTTCAAATATGTTGTTTATTAACGACTCATCATCCTATCCACCGTTTGTCTTTGTTACACCTAACTCCTCTCTGCTATTGTATACAAGGATTTATTTTTGAACTTTCCTATAGATTAGCTAATATGAGTGTAGTTTCCGAAGACTATTATCAAGTCTCCTGTCATGTCAACTGACATATTATGCCACATTTTCAAGTATGCTAAAATTGTTCTGTACATAATCTAAATAATTTCTTTAGGCTATAAGCGGATAGTGAGAAGCTGACAAAATAAATAATAGCATTCTGGTATTCTATACAAACTCTTGTTCTTGCTTTATTCTAATTCATAAAGGCGAATAAGTGTATAGAAATAACAATAGTACGCTAGTATTGTCCGCCAACCCAAACCCCCGAAACAGTGTTGCTCCTCTAATGCTCTTTTCTCCTCCTTACACTAATTACTATATACTACATCTAACCATCATCAACCTGAAACCAATCTGGAAATCTTCGCCACTCAGCATCAACAACAAAATTCGGATTTTCAATACAAACGTCAAGTCAGTCAGTTCTTCTATACGGATCACAAAAAACT